GGGATAAAAATATCCCAGAAAGGGTGATCATAACAAGAGTCAAATACAGTGGAGGTGTGATGGTCTGCAGCTGCTCTGCTTCTTCGGGTCTTTGACCGCTTAAAATAACTGATGGAACCGTGAATTCTGATCAAATGCATAAAGTTTCTAAAAAAAAGAGAGAGAGAGAGAACATCCAGCCTTCAGCTTAAACTCCTTTGGGAGATGCAGTTGGACAATGATCCAACAAAAACAAACAAACCAACATTAGGATTTTTAAGTGGCCTTAGTCTAAGTCTGGACTTAAATCCAACTGAGATGAAGCAGCACGACCTCAAACAGACCGATCGTAGTTGAAACCCTTCAGTATATTTGAAACAATTTTCTCTAAAGATGGACAAAATTTCTCCCTTGTGAGAGAAAAGACTCATTGTCGGGTATCACATATGCTTGATGGCAGTTTCTGTCGCCAAGGGTGATTGATGATAAATATCATTGTGACAACAAAATTTTAGGAGTGAAGCAGCTCCTTATTGTTAACATTTTGATGAAAAGAAAATTGGTTTTAAAAATCTCGTTTGGCCAACCTGAGTGAGCGATTTGGTTGCCATGTCAGCCGCATGTGTTTTAGGTATGCCTTTACCCGCTATCTGGTCTCTGCTGGAGAACAGCATTCGCTCAGTATGATGCTCCTACCACCATGTTTCACAATAAGGCTTCTGGATGTTATTTTTCCATTCATCATTTTGCAATTATTCATGACTTTTGTGATCAAATCCGAATAGAACACGTTGCAGTTTGAATGTGACAAAATGTTGTGCTTTTCAAAGGGTGTGAATATTGTCCGTGTTGTATTGCCTCTAGAGTTGAGAAAATTGGAAGTCCTCTCCCCCTCTTCTTACTTCCCCTTCCTTCATTATTTCATCACCTCCCTCCCCCTGTCTGTCTCCCCCACCTCCAGGGAACGGGGAGCTTAGCAACAAAGAGTTCATCGCCATCATGAAGCAGCGGCTGATGCGTGGGTTGGAGAAACCCAAAGACATGGGCTTCACCCGGCTGGTGCGCGCCATGTGGAAGTGCGCCCAGGACACCGCCTGGGACTTCGCCATTCCGAAGACGTAATGGACACCATTTCAGAGGCGTTTTGTGTGGCAAGAGACAAAGACGCTTTTGTTCAGGAGAATCGACATGAACTCAGTAAAGCTGCAGCTCTGAGGGCGATCATCAGTCATTACTGCATGCTGCTGTACTTCAAGCTATTAACCCACCGTGACTGAAACATCCTGAGCGGCTCCTGCTCTTGTGCCTTTCTGAGGCCTTGCATTGTACTTGTGTTTTTCAGAATATTGCAAAGTTTCTGCTTATTTTTTCCCCCCCATATTCAAGCTTTTTAATTATTTGACTTAAAAACACTAAAAGCAACTGTTTTTCTTTACTTTTTGATTGAAATTAAGAGTAAAAGGGGAGTCAGTTTTGTTTTTACCCAGATATGTTTGTTCAGTACTGACACCGGCCGCTCAGTTTGTTTTGCACAAAGCAAATCAAGTCCCACTGCTTCTTCTATCTTAATATTTCTCACCAGTTTGTCCAATAAAGAACATACTTCTTTTTCTCTAAAGATAAATCTTCAAAGAAAATCCTATTAAAGATTTTTTCATAATGTAAATGTGCCGTTCTTCTCTTCAGTCTGAATTGTAGGGAAAGCTCAGTGAGGGATTAATGGCACCGATACCTGGAGTCATTCGTCAAGCATAATGGAGTGTACTATAACATGTTTATGTGAAATTTTGTGTTTTGATCACATCTGCCAACTCATACACTCAGAAACATAAAAGCGATGGATGTGTGTGTGGAAACAGTCAGCAGTTTTGTCTAATTGAAATGGAAAAGGATGGGCAGTCCTCGGCCTCTGTTGCCCATTAAAAGATTGTCCTGCAGCTTCCTCACACACACACACACACACACACACACACTGCACCATTGGCCTGAAACAAGCCGCTCTGCTCTCTCTCGCATGTTTTACCGCTGACAGGCGGAAGTGGTGCTCAGGAGTGATTGCTAGGCAGGAGATTAGGTTCAAGGGCCTCTCATCATTATTCCTCAGCTGTTTTCTTCCAGGAGTTTACGTCTGGAATCCCAATCACATTGAAATTAAAATGTTTCGTTTCAAATTGTGTTCACTTCATGACATTTATTCCCAAAAATCGCTTTAGAGAAACTGTTTGATGTGCAAAAACTCCCAGAAATGGCAGCACACAGTCACATCTGAAGAGTGAATTTCAAGAAGCCATTCATGTAAACCCTGAGCAAGGACGGTCGGTCAAGTTTCCCTGCTCACTGAAGCTGCATTCGGAGTCGGTGCCAGCCCAGCTCTTTTGTGTAATTACATCATGTTCCTTCACATCAATTACCCCCTTATCTTTTCTCTGTGTGCACATTAATAATACTGTTTTTGAAATGCTAAGGGCTTTTTAATTTACAATTAGGAAAATGTGTGACTCACCAGGCCGCCTGGTCTTCTCTTGAATTAATTAAAATACCACAACTGTTCTGTTACAACCACATTCTTATAAGAAAATTGAGATTTTAGACCATTTGTATTCAGGCCCCGGCCCTTTACTCCTGAGCTGCACTCCAGTTACCTTGGAAGTCAGAGATTAACAGGTACCAGACAGTGAAGAAGTGGAATTTCAAAATGGCGACGCGCATGTTTGTAGTACCTCTTACATCATTTTAAGTTTCCATAAGCAAATACCACTTTTAATTTGTTTAGAGTTGCTGGCGCTGCATGTAACAAATATTTTACATGCATTCTTACGTGTCTTGTTAAATATATTTCCGCCACAGCTACTGTTGACGTCAGAAGCGGCCATATTGAAACGCAAAGTCGGCTTTTAAAGGTCGTAACTGGGGGAAGTGGTCGGGGGCTTTTTCCACTGGGAATTTTGACTTCATAGGGCGTTTCAATTGATTTTTCCGGCTGGGAAGTTGGCATTTCCTTGTTCCCAGTACAACTACACAACAACATTATACCCATAAATATCATCCAGTGAGCCTACCTTCAGATTCCACCTAATCGATAGAGTCCAGCTGTATTTAATTTAAGGTCGGCATATCTAGTTGTTTGGTGAAGGGCTCAGAGAACAAATGGCATCATGAAGACAAAGGAAAGATCAGATATTAAAGGGTTTGGTAAACAACATTCCAAGCCTTGAGCATTTCAAAAACTGTCACCTGAACATAGAAATTGAATACGAAGTAACTCTGGAGGTACTGCTGGCAGCCAAAGCTCATGTGGGAGAATTAGTCAAACCCATGTAGGCCCACGATGGTATGCTGGTTTCATGTAATGGTGATAATGATCTTAATCGTTTCTAAAAGTTATAGGAGAGCTTTATTTTCACATTAAAGCAGAGTTAGGTTCTTGACCAGTCATCTAGCTTGATTCCATGAATAAAAATCTTATTTTCTTAAATAACCGAGAACAACTGAGAAGTGATAAAGCGTCACATGTCACGACTATTCCTGTCTGAACTTGCCTAGATCTCACTTTTAACACTGAAATTTTCCCACTTATATGCTTTGTGTGGGCGATGAGTGACAGGATCTGCCAACATAATTGTGGATTTTCCACTGTGGTGCTGTAAAACACTCAGCTGCACCCAAAATTAAACATCCTGGAGGGAGAGCCGTCAAGATGTCCATGTTTTCATGACAGGAGAGCCCCATCATCAGAAATGACATATGAGAAGATGAAGCTGATGAGAATTAAACCCTTTTCATATCTGGCTTAATGTGCAATCTAGTGTTAAATTCTAATTTAAGGTTGAAAGAAATGCAGCTAAGGTGCTAATATTCTGACTCATGGCACCTGTAAATGTCATGGAGACCCAGTCAAATTATTCGTTTTACTAAAGTGAAATGCTAAAGGAGTACCGTCACATGTTGACAGGCTTGTTAGTGAAAAATAATCCAGACATTTTGTTTGGTTTCTGGACCCAGAAACCCACTCAGAGCTCCTCCATGGCATCCAGTAACTCTCTGTTCCACATGTAAACAGAAACACAGAAGTGCTTTGCTGCCACCTGGAGGCTCCGATGGGAACAAACCCAAATGCTTGTGTTCGATGACCTAAAATTATTTTGTACTTTCTCCATGAAAACCTTTCGGATTTATTTTAGTGTAAGACTATATAATACACATATGTAATATTCCCTGCAGAACTATTTATACTTTTTGACATGTTTCACATTTTGTCAGATCACAGCCACACTTTTTCATTAAATTTTATGTCATATCACAAAATGGTACATAACTTCAAAATGGAAGGAAACATACTTTGCATAAAGATATTTTGTTGCAGTAACAGCTGCAACTCTTCACTAGACATCTGGAGGCTGAAATTTTTCCTACAGATTTTCAAATAAATATCTGTCTGGACTTTGACTAGGTCTTTGGGTTACCCATACACATGCTTTCATAAACCACTGTTTTAGTGGTATTGTTCTGCTGGCAGGTGAACCTCCTCTGCATCTCAAGTCTTTTGCAACCATTAGGTCTTTGCAAAGTAACTATTTAATCCAATTCATATTCTCTGTTCCTGATAAAGACAATAATTCACACAACATAATTCTGCCACCACCATGCTTTACCATGTAGATGACAGGTTCAGTGCAAAGGCTGGTAGTGACCATGTACATTTCATGAGTAACTTTGAAAAATAAAGTTGAGTAGTTTTAATGCAGGATACTTATTTTACTCATGCATTACTTTGAAGTAATGCTACTCTTCAGGACAGTGCAACCAACCTCTGTATGGAGCCAGAAAAGTCATTATTTTTTAATTGTTAAATCTGAAGAAAAAAAATAAAACTAAACATCAAATTTTGATTTTAATACATGAAAAAAAAAATAAAAAATAAAATCTCATTTTAAAGATTTGATTTAGTTCTGTGATGTTTTTGCTTTAAACAAACAAAAACATGTTTTTTGTTTCTAAAAAATATTTTTTAAGCATCAGAATCCCTTAACATAAATATTTTAATGTTAGATTTTTATTTAAAGTTAGAATAATAAAAAAACAACAACATAGAAGCTCATTACACTGAAAAGATGGCTCTCAGTTTTACTAATAACTCATCATCACTAACGAATGTGGAGGGTTAACATGAGCATCCACACATCAAAACAAACAGGATCAAAACAAACAGGATCAAAACAAACAGGATCAAAACAAAAGTTCAATTAGAAAAGGTATGGAGCAGAAATGGGTGGCTCTAATAATCCCACATGGAATAAAATTTTACTATAAATACAGTATAAAATTTTAATGTTTACTGTGATTGTAAGAGGGAGGGGGAAAGCCCAAACACTCCCTGCTCCAAAGTCTAAATTTAACAATACCTCAGTTCCATTACAAAAAAAAAAAAAAAAAAAAAAAAAAAAAATGAGCCTGATGGGTCACATGGCTGTCATTCACCAAGAGACAACTCACAATTAAACCTATAGAATGAAAGTTACACGACACAAATCGTTTGAGACGGAGGGACAGGTTAACATAAGCTTCAGCTTTGTACCATCAACTGGTGGCCTGCAGCCACCTAGTGGCCATAAGTAATATCACACCTTGAATCAGATCAAAGAAGACCAAAGGTAGATGAGTACATTAAGTGCCAGCTGGGCTCAGTTGCTCAGGTGATGCTGTCAGACCGTCTCCGGGGGGTTGGGGGACCAAACAACAGATTCCTGAGCCCACAGCTGGGCTACAGCTGGATTAGGAGAGATCAATCGCTGTCAAACTTGATGGAGTTGACCGAGGTGGAAATGGCTCCGCCGCGGTAGCTCCCTCTCTTCTTTTTCGTCTTTTCGTGGCGGAATGACTTTCCTTTGGTAAACTTGAGAGCCTCGTTAGCTCTCTGTCCCCAGTCTCCGTTGGCTCCATTCTGGGAGGAGAAGCAGAAATGAAAATGTAAAAACTAGGGGGGGGGGAGAGAGAGAGACTTCAAGGGTAAAATGTTGAGAGAAATCTAAACTCACCTTAGCTTCAAAGGAGTTATCTGCCAGTCGGGGATCGACTTCTACATGTTCTTCAACTATTCTACGGAACGGTACGTTGGAGGACTGCAACAAAGTTATTTCCATCAGTTTTCTCATCAATAAAATCTGAACGCATCAGCATCAGTTCCACAGGATTTACCTTCTTATTGGCTTTGGGGAAAGTCTGCGGTGTGGTCGTTACTTTCTTATTTTTTGGCGTCTTTCCAGCTGCCTCTTCACTTTCTGATGACTCTTCATCACGTTTCCTCTTTCCATTTGTATCTGGATGAATCAGAGGCATGAATCAGTTGGAGAAACTTGGAGAAAACAATCCAAACTGCAAACATTAATCATGATCATAAGGAGACAAGAAAAATCCAACAGTAGTGTGCATTTATGTTCAGTTCCCTTTAACTCCGATGCCCCCAAATTAAATCCCTTGCTCCAAATGCCCACAGAAAAAATAAAAATCAGCTTCATGAAGACCAAGCAGCACAGCAGACCGGTCAAGGAGGAAGTTTTCAGTACATTTAAAGTAAATTTAGGTGATAAAAAGACAAGAAGCTTTCTGTGTGACTGTAACGCCACACTTCACTGGTGGCGCACTTTGTCTATCATTTTGGAAACCATGTATAATTTTCCTTAAACTTCACAATTATGAACCACTTGTGTTTTATGAAATCTGACTGAACGAGAAAAGGTTTAGAGGTTCGACTGTTTTTGTATAACAGTGATCAAGTGATGACCGTTGGAAAGAAATGATCTGATGCTGGAGACCAACATGTGGGGAACTCACTGTTGGCTGTGGGAGTGGGAGGAGCCGTGGCTGCTTTCCGCGGAGCTTCGTCCTCTGAGGAGCTGTCTGAGGAGCTGCTGCTCTCCTCGGCTTTGGCTGCCGCCACCGTCTTGTTCTTTGCTGCGGCAGCAGGAGCTTTAACTTGACTCGTTTTACTGACTGCTTCCTCCTCAGAGCTGCTGTCACTGGATGAAGACTCAGCAGGCTTACCAGCTGCCTTCGCCACTGTAGCTGCAGCTTTAGGAGTCGCTGCTTTGCCGTTGGTGGCTGCAGGTTTAGCAGGAGGGGCCTCCTCTTCTGAGTCGGAGCTATCTGAAGAGTCAGAGCTGCTCTCTTCTGCCTTTTTCACTGCAGCAGGTTTGGTGGCCTTCCCAGCTGCAGGTGGTTTGGTGGCCTTCCCAGCTGCAGCAGGTTTGGTGGCCTTCCCAGCTGCAGCAGGTTTGGTGGCCTTCCCAGCTGCAGCAGGTTTGGTGGCTGCTTCATCCTCCGATGACTCTGAGCTGTCAGACTCAGAGCTGCTCTTTGTTTTACCAGTTTTTGCTGCAGGAGTCGCAGGCTTTGAGGCTGCATGCTTTGAGGCTGGGGTTGCTGCTTTGGTCACTGCAGCTTTGGGTTTAGCTGGTTCTTCATCTTCAGAGGAAGAGTCAGAGCTGCTTTCAGAGGTTGCTGCAGGATTTCCTGCAGGTGTTGCAGGCTTTGATGCTCCAGCTGCAGTTTTAGCTGCAGGCTTTGAGGCTGGGGTAGATGCTTTAGTTGCTGTTGGTTTAGCCTTGGCTGGTTCTTCATCTTCAGAAGAAGAGTCAGAGTCAGAACTGCTTTCTGCTGCAGGTTTTCCTGCAGGCTTTGAGGCTGGGGTAGCTGCCTTGGCTGCAGGTGTTGCAGGTTTTGACGCTGGCTTCGCCTTGGCCGGCTCTTCTTCTTCGTCTGACGAGTCAGAGTCTGAGCTGCTCTCTGCTGCTGCAGCAGGTTTGGCTGCAGGAGTTGAGGCTTTTGAAACTGGCGTTGCCACCTTAGGGGCTGTTGGTTTGGTCTTCGCCGGCTCATCATCTTCAGAGGAGGAGTCGGAGTCCGAGCTGCTGTCTGCTGCTGCAGCAGGCTTTGCAGCGGGTTTTGGGGCAGCGGCAGCTGGTTTAGCAGCTGGCTTAGCAGCTGGCTTAGATTTCGGGGGTTCGTCCTCTTCATCAGAGGAATCCTCCGAGTCTGAGCTCGTTTCTGCTGCCTTTGCGGGGGGTTTAGAGGCAGCAGTCTGGGTCTTCGGGGTCGCGGCCTTAGAGGGCGGCTTTGCTGGAGCCTCATCTTCAGAGCTGCTTTCTGAGGAGACAAAACATTTGCATTCAAAACCAGGATGACATGAAATGCTCTATGGCTGAAATGATTAAGGCTTGATAAATAATTAAGAAATCAATTCATTGTTAACTGGACTATACAGATTTTTAAAAATGCAAGTTGCTGAAAAACACACTCAGAGCAGTAATTAAGCCAAATCTGTACAAAATATATATATACACATAATAAATTTAAGATAAAAACGCCTTTTGTCTGTAAATATGTTCTACCAGAAACTCTTCAAGTTGCCTCATAGTTTTAGCTTCACCCAGAGCAGATTCACTGAGGGAAATAAAATGTTTATTTTAAAAGGAAATTGTTTGTTCATTTGCCTCTTTTACTGCATTTCTGACATTGTATAAAATAGTTTAAGAGCTTAAATAAAAACATCAGCAGCAGAATGTGCCAATTTTAATAATAACTCATTACTAAAATAATCATTAGTTGCAGATCTAATCTGCTCCTTTCCGGCTTGCCTTACCTGAGCTCGAGGTCTCGTCTTTCTTTGCTGCAGCGGTTTTTGCAGGTGGAGCTTTGACTGCAGGTTTTTTAACCGCCTTCTGTTCCTCCTCTGAGCTGGAATCCTCTGAGGAAGAGGAGGAATCCTTTTTAGCAGGTGTGATGGGCGCAGCAGCTTTAGTAGGAGCAGCTTTAACAGCAGCAGGTTTGGCAGGAGGCGTCTTTGCTGCAGGTTTCTTCACCCCCTCTTCCTCCTCATCTGAACTTGAGTCTTCCTCAGAGTCCTCTGCTTTAGCCAGCGTAGCTTTAGCCGGGGTAGCTTTAGCCAGCGTAGCTTTAGCCGGGGTAGCTTTAGCCAGCGTAGCTTTAGCCAGCGTAGCTTTAGCCGGGGTAGCTTTAGCCAGCGTAGCTTTAGCCGGGGTAGCTTTAGCCAGGGTAGCTTTAGCCGCAGGCTTCTTGGCTTCTTCTTCATCTGAGCTTGAATCTAAGAGTACATAAACACAGGCAAAAATGTATTTTATCTGTTGAGCTTCACATGAACCAGAGTACAAAACGTTTGGGTTCTGGGATCATTACCGGAGCTCTCTGAACTGGACTCTTGCTTCTTTGCTGCAGGTTTGGTCGCTGCAGGTTTTGCGGCGGTTTTCTTCGCAGGAGCAGGTTTTACTGTAATTATTTAACCATTTAGTCACTAGTTAAATCCTTTGACAGGTCAGACTGAGAAAGCTGAAAAACTTACCAGCCACCTTCTTCTTCTCCTCCTCTTCATCACTGCTGTCATCACTGCTCTCTGAGGACTCGCTGGCCTTGGCTTTGCTAGCAGCAGCTGCAGCAGGAGCCTTCTGGATGGAGGCAGGCGGAGGTACGGCGCTGTACGGTCCTGACAGGACAGAGGTGGACATTTACAATCAGGTCACAAGGGACTGCAGGAACAAACATCCTTTACATTTTTCAAATCAACATTTATAGAGTTTATAACAATCGATTTATTACAGATATGTCTCTAGCGGTCGGGCTTCTAATATGGAAGTTGCAAAAGATCGACTGTAAAGAAGTAGATGATGGAATAGATGAAAAACATGGATGGATGGACAGACTGGTGTTATTTCCAAGTACATAAAAGTTAAAAACTTTAAAACAAAATCAAACCTGGTTTGGGTTTTTTGCTTGGTGGAGTTTCATCTTCAGATGAAGAGTCTTCACTGCTGGACTCAGCAGGAGCTGCAGCTTTGTTTCCTGGAGCTGCAGCTTTGTTTACTGGAGCTGCAGCTTTGTTTACTGGAGCTGCAGCTTTGTTTACTGGAGCTGCAGCTTTAGCAGGAGCCTTACAGAACACACACACACACACACACACTAAACCATTATTACATGTTTCAATACATTTCTGCAATCATGGTTGGAAAACTTTCCCCCCCCCCCGTTTACCTTTGCTGGTGGTTCATCCTCAGAGTCAGAGGAGCTGTCTTCACTGCTGCTCTCCTGCTTCTTCTTAGCAGAAGCAGCTGCTTTGGCTGCTGTGACAGCTTCTGTTATCAAAAACAAAATGCATGTAAAGTCATTTTCATTATAAGCTTTATGCTGTTTAACAGGTTTAACTCTTGCCGTCTTCTGACTTACTCGCTGCAGGAGCTTTGGCGGGTTGCTCATCTTCAGAGTCCGACTCTTCGCTGCTAGAGCTGCTGTCCTTCTTCCTCGTGCTGCTACCCGCTGCAGCAGCAGGCGCAGCCTTAAGAGCAGTCTGCATACGTAAAATTTCATTTTTAGAAACTGAGTGCAGTTGAAAATCCTGCAAAAATGTTGAGTTTCAGAATGAGGGTTTTGATTCCCACCTTTGCAGGAGTTTTCTTCTCCTCCTCGGAGTCACTCGAGTCCTCACTGCTGGAGCTTTCTGCGCTGGGCCTGGCCTTCTTGGCTGAAGGTCCATTAACTGATGCTGAAGCTGCTTTCCGTTTCCTGGCCTCAGGAGACCTTATCAAGGAAAATGAATGACATTACTCCTAACAAATTAGATTATTCACCAGGAAATCTTGAATTTACACCATCTCCTGCTCCTCGAAGTTCAAACATTGGAAGAAGCAAAACAGTCAGAATTTTAACTCTTGACTTTGTCTTCCTTTAACTCTGAAATGGGCTTCGCTTCATCTTGCTCTAAAGACTGTGGTTATTCATGCCATACTTTTTTCCTTCCACTACGCTTTTCATTAATTTGACAAGCGAGATAGACATGGTGTCAATGACAACCTGCAGGAAGACTGTCAAGTCATAATATGGCCATAATATACAATTTCTGAATTAAAATTTATTTACTTAGACTTAAATTTATAGGGAAAATATTTGTTTGGATTTTTACTACAAATGTCATTAAAATTAAACAAACGTGCTTTATTTGTACCACATATTTTAACTAAATTTTTATTTATTGTGACACAAACGTACATTGAAGCATGCAACGGGAAAACAATTGCATTTTATTCAAGCATTCTTGATAAGGAATACATTTAAAAATGAAGGGCGCACCAGCAATTTTCTACCATATTTAAAAAAATAGAGTGTATTAATGATATTGCCAGTATCATCTATGATCATTTTTTTTTCAGTAGAGAGGAAATACTTATGAAAAAGAGTGTAAAAATGAAAGGGAACTGACTTCACCCAGAAGTTGTAGATGCTGACCAGACTTTCTTCATTTTGATCTTGTGGAATCTGGAAGAAGCAAGAAAATATATCTTGGTCTTTCATCTCAAAGAACTGTCTCAATCACAACTACACATATCGACTCGTTTCTTCTTTATACTTTCACAAATAAGTACATTTAATGCATTATTCTCTGAAACAGGTGGCGATTACAACACAGCTGCACGTGTTAATTTCACCGGGCCCCCCACGTTACCTGTGCGTTCAGTTACGTTATAAACCCTCTCCCTGCAAAACAACAGATGGCTCAAAGTGAGACACTTACAACTTTAGTCTGCTTGAGGAACTGCTGAGCCGCCTTGGTGAACTTGTTCTCCAGCAGGAACGAATAAACGCATTTATAAAGATCACTCGGGACAGAGTTTGGCTCCGCCATTTTTACCACGCTCCTAGGACAGAGAGGAAGTGACAGAAGCGCGCAGGCGCCTCATGATGACGTAAACAGATTACTCTCTGAGGCGATGGCTGCCTCCGTTCGAAAAAAATGCTTAGCATTTTCAGAAAACTGGTAACAGTTCTTGCTGACAATGTGGTAATAAAATAAATCAAACAGTGTTTTACATTCAATATAATATGTAAAATGCCTTTAATTATTTTTCTATTTGAAGTATCTTTTTTTTCTATTGCGGACAGAGTGAGACCTCCACTGCTAGTTTATTTTCCGAACTTCAAAGAATGTCACTGAATATTTTTTTTTTTATTCCAATAGGTACATATTCTTACTGTAGGATTTTACTTAGATATATATTTTTATTAGTTTGATATAATATTCCAAACTCAATTTTTATTTTTATAATTAGTTGTGGTTTTTGGAGGTTATGCGCATGCGTGATTCTGAAGTCCTTCCGTGTCCCTCGTGTCATAACATGGTCGCCTTCACTGCTATGACCCCAACTTGTTGTTAACCAGATTGAAATCTTGAAAAGAGGACCACTTCACTGCAGCCATGCCTCGCTACGAGCTGGCTCTGATCCTGAAGGCGATGCAGCGACCGGAGACGGCGGCCGCCGTCCGGCGCACGGTGGAGACCCTGATGGAACGCGGCGCGGTGGTGAGAAACCTGGAGAACATGGGAGAGAGGCTGCTGCCTTACAAGATAACAAAACACAACGAGAGGCACAGCAGAGGGACTTACTTTCTGGTGGACTTTTATTGTGCTCCGAGCATCCTCGACGGCTTGTTGAACCACCTGCACCGTGACGTGGACGTGGTGAGACCCACGGTGTTGAAGAAGGAAGAGCAGGAGCCCAAAAGCAGCGGCTGTGGCCCCTCACAATAACGTCATTCACTTTTTTTTATATCTCTCCAGTAACCCAGGTGATGAATTGCACATAGCAACAAACAGTGATTAATTTGAGTTGTGTATATGTTAACTATTAAATAAAGGTGGAAAGATTTAACTCTAGTATGAGATAGAGGTGTGGGATATAGGTATCTTTCTGCCATGTATTTACTTGGTATCGAATCAATACCAAACTCCACCAAAAGGTAGCCTACCTTGAATAACAACTCTACCTTGAATAATTCAATTTTTTTAGGAACATTTTGTTTTCAATTATTCCTGGAATATTTTTATTCTGTGTTTATTTCATGTTCCCTGAATTCTTAAATTCAAATTTGAACTGGTATAAGATGCTCAAGTTATGACAAACAGTTAAAAAAACAAATTACAGTAGTTACACTGCTCTTTAATGGTTAATGTTTAATCCATTAAAGAGAAGGGATAATGTAACCATTAACATACATGTTTTATTCATATTTGATTCATAAACTGAGGTAAAAATATAGAGTGAAACCTATGATATTTTTTACTTATCCAAGTTCCCATTGATAGGCTCAGATCAGTGATCGACAGGTTAAATACAAAACAATCAGATTTTTGTTCATTTTTTTCATTCTAATGCAGCAAAACTAAAACTCCTACTAATTTTGATCTATAAATAGATCAATAAATATGTTCATTGTGCTTTCTTTTGAGTTTAGTCAAAGTTAAATAAAAGTAATAGATGTTTGCTTTAATGCATAAATAGGGAATAATGTTGTAATTCCTCAACCACCTCCATCAAGGAACTTTCAGCACATTTTTTATTAAAACAATGTTTATAGAAGTGACTTTGGTTGTGGTTACGGTTTCCAGGATTAATCGTGTCAAGCTCTGTATCCTGATTTACCAGATTTTTCCTTCTAAAGCTGATTAAAATATAAACATCTGTACAAGGCTAACAGTCTTTCTAAATGTAATTTCTACTTGGAGATGCTTTGAAAAGCTTTAGTGTGGGAGACAGAGTGAAACTGACTCGCAGGTGGTTCAATATAAACACGGCGGCCTTGAAGATTATGCTCAAGCTTTATTCGTCTTCTACCTTCAGCCTAACTTTATGGAGACATTCTTCAAAAATAAGAAAGACAATGAACCTAAATGCATATTTTCAGATCAAACATGCTTAATTATATTTAAACTGAGATTGCCAGTCATTAATACGTATTGATGCAGTTTTACCTGATTTATAAAAAAGCACATTTTTCTGTTTGAAAAACAGAAGGGGACAATATGGACTATTTTACTCAGCATTTCCTGTTTCATCTGACTTTTATGCCTCACTAAGCAGACATGATCTCAGCTCTGACAGATTTAGAAACGTGATGGCGAAATGCGAGAAAACCTAATGTCTCTTTTTGAAACAGGAAGATGTTTTCTTAATTAGGCCATAAAGGAGAACATGTTGCTGTTTGTGTTTTTACATGCCACATCTCTCCATCAGATTCTTTGCAGTTTTAATTTAGATGTGCTTATCATCCTGTGCTGTTGAGAATAAGCAGTTCTTGTGTTGCACTATAAATAAACATGTTGCTCTCTTTGAATCACTTGTAGAAACAGGTTTACACAGAAATGTTTGCATGTTTCTTTACCTGCTGTTACTTTATTCTGTACTGATTATTATTCTTTAACTATGTGTAATATTTGTTTCACACACAGGCTTCGCTGCTCGTGAGGACGGAACGACATGCTGCTGACCTGCCCATAGCTGCTGGATGTGATATTACTGTATATGTAATGAAATAAATTACTATTCCCTTTTCTCTGATTGAAGTTCATTGCAGACAGTGTGGGCCATATGATCTTTAGCCATGTGATGGCAGTTCCTGTTCATGTTTTCACACGCTCACTGACTTGACTTGCTGTGGGTAGTTTTTTTTGTAAATGTATGACTATGTTAGTAGACAATCCATACAAGATGACAGTTGTTTAAGAAATTATTTTTTTAAAAACTGCCTCAGAATTTCTTCAAGAAAACCAGTCTTGCCATTTATAAACCACACTTTGCTTGGGGTTTTCCAAGAAAGTTGCCAGGCAGTTGTTGTGAAGCTTTAATGAAAGCCACACCTTAAAAAGCATAACTGTGACACCCAAGTAGATGTACTTTTAAGATATGCCTTTGTTTTGAAATGAGGTTTTTTATTTGGACCTCAATAGAATAATAACATGTATTTTTTATTCAATTTTTTTTAGCAAGGGGATTGCTCAAGTGCGTTTCTTATGACATTTACAGCATGTATTTTTTCCGTAGTGAGTAAAACATGGTTCAATTGTGACGTCTAAAGACATATTACGGGAGAAGGGTACAAGAAATTCCCAACATTTTATTTATTAAGTCATTTTTCCTGATGTATAAGCTACATGAAGAAATGAGGAGCAATGAATGAAAAGAAACAATACAAGATGAAAAAATACAAATTCCAATAAATTATACATTAATGGTATTGTAGTGTTAAGTTTGAAACTGTGGTCTTTTTTATTCATTAAAAATATGCATAGCCACAGGGAGCCAGTGTAAAGACTTTAGAGCAGGAGTGATGTGCTCTATCTTCCTGGTTTTTAGTCAGAACACCAGCAGCAGCGTTCTGGATCAGCTGCAGCTGTCTGATTGATTTTTTTAGGCAGACCTGTAAAGACGCTGTTGCAGTAATTAATGCGACTAAAGATAAAACGCATGGATGAGTTTCTCTAGATCTCGCTCAGACATTAATCCTCTAATCCTGGAGATGTTCTTCAGGTGATAGAAGACCAATTTTGTAACTGTTTTTATGTGACTCTGAAGGTTCAGGTCAGAGTCCATCACTACTCTCCAGCCTGATTGCTGGTTTTTAATTGTAATAACTGAAGCTGTGCATTGATTCTAGATCAGGGGTGGGGAACTCCAAGCCTCAAGGCAAAACTAAAACTTTTAGATGCATCTCTACTTCAACACACCTGAGTCAAAAAATGAGGTCATTAGCAGGACTCTGGAGAACTTGACTGCACTTAGGAGGTGATTCAAGTGTGTTGGACCAGGGAGACATCTAAGAGTTGCAGGACACCGGCCCTCAAGGACCAGGATTGCCCACCCCTGCTCTAGACCGTCCCTTTTTAGGTCCAAAGATAATAACTTCAGTTTTGTTTCTATTCAACTGAAGAAAGTTTTGGCACATCCACACATTTATCTGGTCTAAGCATCTGTTCAGTGACTTGAAGGGTTCTGAGTCACCTGGTGACATCGTAATGCAGAGCTGTGTATCATGTTTGGCTGTGACATGTAATGCGCCAAGTTAAGAAGCTTACCTGTGCTGTAAATAGCCAACCCCCACTCTTAAGTGTTAAGCTAAACAAGATGACTGTTAATATTAATTCGGGAGAAATCCAAATTAATGGGAGAAAGCCGAGACTGAGCTATAAACCAGATTTGAATCGAGCAGAATAGCACAGGAAGGCAATGGCCAGGTTAGCCCTAACTTTAAGTTGTTGTCGAATTGCTGCTGTCCAATATCATTTTAGCTCATGTTTTTATTTGTTCTTTAACTAATTTTATTTTTCGACATTCGTCAGATATACCTTCCTATTTTGTTTCATCAATTGCTTTGTAAAAGTTTGTATGAATGCGTTGGCTGTCCCCACTAAGTTTTACAACAGAATTGCCTTTTGGGGACCTAATAGGTGAGTTGATTGATTGTCAATTATATAACCCCAAAGAGGTTGTTGAGAAGGGTGGGGAGTATTGGCTTATTTAACCAGGATCTTTTGACCATGTCTAAAATAGATAAACGAAAATAAGTCAGTAAATTAACAAACAGAGATTTTGTATGCAAGTTTAAGCATCTAATGAGTATTCAGATACAGGTATACTGTTGAACATAGAGACTTAGACTTATTTTATTGTATTTTATAAAAACTACCAACCTGCTTATAGTATGACCTGGGGGTCCCCAAGTCCAGTCCTCAATGTCTGGAGGAGATGCAAAGTTGCATCTCTGTAGCAGAGATGCAACTTTTAGATGCATCTCTGCTACAATTTAACCATCACCAGCATTTATTCAGCTATGAAATAGGCTGGTAACGAGCAGTTTATTTGATCCAGGTGTGTTTGAGCAGAGATGCATCTAAAAGTTGTAGGATGGTAGCCCTTGAGGACTGGACTTGGGGACCCTTAGCTGCACACATTAAGGTGGCTATTCCATAGTGGGGAGATTTTGTTATTTTTACTGTATTAATAGTAAAAATATTATTATAGTAAAAATTGTATAGAATTTGTATCCAAGTTGATTTCTATTATCCAGCCATTTTCTATACATACTGTATAACATAACAGAATCTATGGTGATGGGGTCATTTAAAGAGATCAATTAAGTGTCATGTTTGTGGACTTCAGGAGAAGCCGGAGCACCCGGAGAGAACCAACAGAATAGACAAAGACGAGATGAGAAGACAAGACAAGAGATGAAGAGATGAGATTAAATTGTACAATTGGGGGAAGTTTTAGAGCAGTGGTCTCAAACTCCGGTCCTGAAATTCTAGATGTCTCTCTCCTTCAGCACACCTAAATCCTATACTAGCATATCAGCAGAGCTCTGTAGAGCTTGACTGCATGCTAGTGAGGCAGTTTTGCCGTTTAATTCAAGTGTGTAGGACAAGGGGCACATCTAAAAGCTGCAGGACTCTGGGTCTTGAGGACTGCAGATTGAGACCACTGCTTTAGATAGTCAATTGCAGGGAGTGTTGGAAGTTATAGGTGGCAGAAAGCCATGTTTTGGCATTTGAGCATGCCTTATTATACGTGCATGTTGCACTTTGACGACATTTGCCGGGTCTGGCTCAAAACTGGGACTAGTGTCAAGACTGGTACCAGTGTCAAGACTGGGACAAGTGTCATAACTGGGACAAATGTTTAAAACCCTGCAAGAATCACCAACTTTGGGAGGTGGCTTGGGTTTCCTAAATTTGCTTTGGATGTATCGTACATCCAGCCCCCTGTCTTCAGCCTTCTGCAGTTCAGTCTTCATGTATTCCTTAATTGGATCTGAAACAGTAGTGAAACTGTGATGAAGCCTCCGCTGTTCTTCCATGTCCATATTTTTCTGATTTCTCTCTTTGGCACGCTTCTCTGCTGCCATTCGAAGGTTGAAGATGGAACAGTCGACGTTGATTTGTCGTTTTTGTTGGTTCTTTTTTTCTTCTTCAGCTGCATACAACTTGTCAGCCTCCCTCATTTCATACAGCCGTTTTTTGTTCTTCTCCTTGTCGGATTGTTTCCCCTCTAGTTTCTCTCTTGCTAAATAAGCATTTGTTTTCGAAACTGATTTTTCCATTGCAGTCTTTCTCTGCTGTTCTTCCTCTGCTCGCTGTTTTTCTTTCATCCTCATTTGTTCCTCGACTTTCCTCATTCTATCTTCTCTTGAAGCCAACCTGGAAGCTTCCTCATTTTTTATCTCTGCCAGTTTGTCATACACGGTTTGTATCTTCATCTGAGTCTCTCTTAATCTGTCGGCCTTATGTTTTTCTGGATTTCTAGAGGTCGAGAGAAAATCCCCCCAATTCACTGGGTCCTCCTTGCGAGATTTTGCCACCTGCTCCATTTTGGAGAGTTTGGGCCTTAAAACATTTTGCGCAATGCAATTCCTTTCCCTTTCCCTCCATTTCTGTCTGTCCTCATTTTCCTTTTGGTTTAGGTATGCATCTCGGAGCATAATTTGCCTTGTCTCCTCTTGTGCAAGTTGTCGTTTCTGTTCTGCAATTTGTTTATTTTCACGCATCCGGCCAATGTAATTGTCGGCATCAGCCCGTGTGTTCTGTTTCCGTTTAATAGCGTCATTTTTAATGCGTTCATCGGCGGCATTGTTCCAAGAATTGATCTCCCCACTTTCTTTTGCAAGTTTTCGTGCAGCTGCCCTCTTGTCTCGTTGATATGCCGCCAACACCTTGTTGTATTCTTTTATCCCTTGTTTATTGAGTTCTCTGTTAAAATTCTCCACGGCCTTGTCTCTTTGCATAATTCTGTATTTGCTGTCTTCAATTAGGGCACGATTTTCCTGTTCTTTGAACATCCTTTCTTGTTCAGCAATCCGGTCAAATCCTTGCTCTTTTGCTAGTTTCTCTGCGTCTTTCTTTGCTACGTGTTTAGTGCGTTTTGCCTCCATAATGTTAAGTTGTGGTCGCAAACGATCAAACTCCTTTTGGCAATTTTCACTGACAAGATTATGTGCTCTTGACATTTGCTGAATTGTATACCAACAGTATGATGGTAGGATGACTGTATTTCTATCCATTTTTTAGTGAAAGTATTTCACAATAACCAGAATCCCAAGGGTCTTTACACGAAAAGCAGGTCTAAGTTAAATCCAGAAATGTCTAATTCCTGTCAATCCAAGAAACTCAGCTCACAGACTGGTTCCAATTCAGTGTGTACACTTCACCGCGATCCAAAGTGGAATGAAGTGCAGTGAAGTTCAGTTCATTCAAGTGACTCAGAACTGGCATCACAGAAGTAGATTTTGTGACATCACTATGATATATGACATCATCAGACTGTCATCTGTTCAGTGACAGTACAAACTTGCATTCTGCAGCCAGGGACAGTTTCAGAATTAAAAGCATGGTTCTTTATTAATTCAAATTCAAAATTCTAATTTCAGTGAAAGTACAAAGATACTCCAACATGCTGCAACCCTGAGCAGTACAATTCTAGAAATAAATATTAATTACCTGAAAGGAAATTTTAGGAATACTAGACTACAATGACTGAGTGTTCAATGACTTTGTATTTTTATGT